ATATTTAATTTTAAAATGACAAATTATTTGACATTGACAGATAAGGTAGCGGTAGCGGAATCCAGCAGGTTTTGACTTATGACGTTTGGTCCAGCGCTTTAAGCTGGATTTTCATAGATCCGATATCCGATGACACGAAATACGAATTTTTTTCGTACGAATATATTTGATTGTCGTATCCGAAATTTTTTGACATACATTTCATATATATGTGTTATGTGTTAGATTATTGGATGGATTCGATGGATTGATATTTATTTTAATGCACTGTCAATAAATCTTAGCTGTTTTGTTTAATATAATATATATTGTATTGAGCTACGGTCTCGTCGTTTTTGTCTCATATAGTGTAGAAGACCCAAAAGCAACACTTTATTCATTGCATTTTTATTTAATAATTAGGTATTTGTTCCATTTTAAATATATTTCAAATAGTAAACATAAACACTTCACAAAAATAAGGTTAAGGTTCAAGTTAAAATGTCAACAATGTCAAAATTCATCCGATTTTCGTGTAAAAGTTAAAATATTTTTAACTTCTTCCGATGACTTTTAGTTTCGTACGAAAATCCCACCTGTCATTTTTCAACCAATGAAATTCGCTGAAATTTATATCGTATCATCGTACCGTCGGATATCGGACCTGTGAAAATCCACCTTTACGATGGATTCGGAAGTAGCGGAGCGGTAGCTGCTCCGTCTGCTGAACGCGCCCAATGTCACCAAATGCTGTCACTGTCACTGTCCTTAATTCAACTTTGACATTTTAGTGTTCAGTCAGATTTAGAAACATATTTGTTCAAATTTCCATTTGACTCGGACACGTGAATTAGTTTAAAACTGGTGTTAAACTATTATTATTTTTTGGACCAGTGAAATTACTTAAGGAAAATGAGTACCATTGTTGAAAAAATTGCGGCTATAGAAGCCGAGGTAAGGATATTAATTCAAAAATGGATTAGAATGTTCCTAACCTCTGACCGGTTTTCAGATGGCCAGAACTCAAAAAAATAAAGCAACAGCAGGACATTTGGGACTTTTAAAGGCTCGTATAGCAAAACTCCGGAGAGAATTAATTACTCCAAAAGGAGGTGGTGGAGGTACTGGCGAAGGTTTTGATGTAGCTAAAACTGGAGATGCACGAGTCGGATTTGTAGGTTTTCCATCAGTGGGAAAAAGTACTTTACTAAGTAATTTAGCTGGTGTGTATTCTGAAGTAGCTGCCTATGAATTCACCACACTGACAACGGTACCTGGGTGCATTAAATACAAGGGAGCAAAAATACAGGTACATTAATGTAAAATATCTACATTATCTTTTTGTTTTAGTTACTCCAGTTTTTCCGTATACTAATTACTGATTCTAGTTTTGATGAGAGCTGCTTAATTTTATATTTGATAAGCAGAAAAGTACATACTTTTCAGTCAGGCATTACAAAAAATAAAGATCTCATTAAATATTTGAAAATTAAACTTATGTGTTTAACAGTATGTATGTTTTATTTAATTATGATGGTGTTTGTTAATAAATTGTTTGGTCTTTTAGGAAGAAACAATTATGAGCATGTATTTATTATTTATATAAACTCCTAACTGACAAAGTAGTACAATATCCTAACAGTTGGAGCCTACTAAAATAGTTGAATTATAATAATTACAATAAAAAATTATTATATTTGCCCCTGAATTGAAAAATAAATATTTGACTCTTGTTTCCTATTTTGACATGACTAAATTTTGAAATTAGAAATGATAACTATTATAATTCTAATTATAATATTCACACAATTTGATTAGTTAGGGAATAAAATTTTCCCAATGACAACCAATTTAATATCTGTACATAAATACATTAAACATCTAAGATCTAACAACATGACCAGAAAAACCAAATGTAAAATATACAAGACCCTGATAAAACCAGCCTTGTACAGTGAAACTTGGATAATTTGAATCTCAGGGGACCTTTAAAAAAATTTGAAATATCCAAAAATTCGAATTATGCAAAAATTCAAATTAAAAATATATCTACAAAACCAGTGATACCTACAAAAACATCTGCAAATGATAAAAATCAACAATAGTTGACCATTTTTATCTTTTGCAGATGTTTTCATTCCTATTCTTTTCCGAGTTTTGTCAACCGAAAAAAATGGGCTAACAAAATTCGGTCAAGACAACCAATTAAAATATTTGCAAGCTATAAAAAATGGATAATAAATGGAAATAAAAAGAAATCCTAAATTTTAGCTGCTTTTTAGAATTTAGCTTCTCGGCAATGACAAAAGATTTTAAGGTATTCTAAGGTGAACTAAAAATAGAGTGACTTAAGTTGTTTTTATTTTCAAACTACCATCTAAGTTGTGTTATATGATTCGTTGCTTCAGCTGCACTGCAACATCTTTAGCCATGTTGCCAAAATCTTTATAAGAGACAGCAGGATCAGAAATAACATCCTCCCAGCCGTTGACTGAAAGCAGCTCTTCTGTTAAAGTGTTGTTAGCATTTTCTGCGTTCTCCTACTTTTTTACGAAACCAGCTTTTTTAAACAGTGTTTAATCGTTTCAGTTGTTACTTTCTCCTAAGCTTTATTACACATCGAGAGGCTTGAATAATGTCTAACTTTATTTCAAGGGAGTTACAATTTTCCGTCAATATGTTTTCAACCAAAAAACATCTGTTAAAATGTTTAAGATTTTTTGGTGCCCTATAGGATGGAGAACTGAAATCATGTTGGCAGGAAATAAATAACTTTTACATTTTCCATTTGTGGGATAGTGTCGTAGGCCATACAGTTCTCAATAAACAAACTAACTTTCTTTTTTCTTTTATGAACTTTTTGTCTAATTTCATCAGCCATTTCTCGAAAAGAATCATCAGTAGAGGCAACATTTCTGATCCGTCCTTGTTTATCTCTTTCATCTATATCCAGAATCATCTCCTCCCATTTTTTTCCATTTGTTGGCTTCTTGCTGATTAACGGTCCCACTTTCTTCACAAATGGATTTGAATGAAATTTTATTGTGTTCTTTGAAGCCGTCTAGCCACCCTGTACTCGCCTTAAAGTTGTTTTCCCCATTTCGATAACAAATTGTACAGCTTTGCTTCTTATAAGGGGACCACTCACGAGAATTTCCTTATCCTCGGCTTGTTCGAACCATTTTAAAACACATTTGGGTTTTCTGGTTCCCTTAACATTTTTTGTTCTTTACCGCACTAACTTTCACTCTTGATATTTTTTCTTTATTCTTCAGGTAGGTATATCCATCTATTTGAAGAAGTAGGTGTGAATTATCATGTGTTAGGATGTGATTCCTTGTAATCTCAGATTTTTTCTTTGTCCCTTTTACGACTTCTTTAACTGTCGCTATTTTTTCCGATAATGTCAAAGTTTTGTATGTTCGAGCTACCAAGCGACGACATCTTCCCTCAAAACGCAATGACATGCTGACGTGATTGCGGTGCTTGCAACGCCAGCGCATCTTAACTGAAGGGACCTTTTCGCGGAAATTTCCAGCATGAAATTGGCATTTTAGGTTGTAGAAAAGTTCGAATTATCCAAAATATAATTCAAATTATTCATGACTTTTTACCATTACCTTATATAGAAATGCTAGGGACCAGAATAAAAATTCGAATCAAAGAAGATTTTGAATTAGAGAAGTTCGAATTAAGCAGGTTCCACTGTATCGTCGCCTCAAAGCAATAGTAGGATATGTAAAAAAAATTATTTTTGTGATATTCATGTCAACTGATTCGAAATAAACCCTTCTGTTGAGTGTAACACTGGGATAAATAAAAAGTGATATACTTTTTTCATAATACTACATACCCTTGTATAGCTTAATTCCTTTTAGCTCAAATTTTATAATGCAACACTAAGACAACATACATATCATACCATTATAATTGTTGTTGATTTTGTCACATATTAATGCAACACTAAGTTATCTTACGCACATATTCTACTGTTGCCATGTACTTATTGCTGAGTTGCAATTATGTATAACAGAAATTTACAGATATTGTTAAAAACAGAATATTTTTGAGGGCAACAGTAGGACAACTAACTTTTTGTCCAATTATTTTTCACTTTTTTATTAATTAATATAAATTGATATTTGACACATGTAAAGTTAGGTACTCAAACAAAATTCCACGTAAATCCATTCAAATATAAAAAAGTTATTAATTACTGAAGGTTCGTAAAATTTTCAAATGCCTTTTTCTCGAAACTACATTATTTTACATATCCTACTGTTGCTTTGAGGCGACGGTATATGGATCAGAGACATGAACACTGTCGAGAAGCGCTGAGCGCTGGATGGGCCAGGTTGAACAGATGTTGGAGACTGAAACACCAAAACATATAATTAGGCAAACACCAGTAGGGAAAAGGTCAAAAGGAAGACTCAAACTTAGATACATGGAACAAGATCTGAAAACGCTTAAGATTACCAACTGGAAAAACAAAGCAAGGAACAGCACAGAATGGCGGAAAATCCTAGAACAAGCCATGACCCAGAAAGGTTTGTCGAGCTACTGATGATGACGATGATGATGATGACATAAATACGCTTTCTAAATATAGTAATATGTTTGGATTTTCTTTGAAAACTAAGCATGGACATACATTTTTTTGTCTCTACTACATGTATTAGAAAGAAGTGGGGCACTGAAAGAAGGTTCTGAGAAGAATCATATTAGTAGTTTCATTCTTTTGTCACTGTGTTTGTTGTTAAACATTGTTTTAATCCACAATTTTAATCAGCAAAACAATTTTTTGGATCCAAAGCTTTTGTTAATGCTTACGCTTAGTTGATTTGTAAACCTACATAACTCGGATTCACTTACCCTCAGAATTTGTGCAGTAGCCAGAAAGTTACGGGTTTATCTTATCGAAAATGAAAACACTTTTTTTGCATTTACTTTTAGTCTATTATGAATACATGTGTTATGAGATTAATTATTACTTGATACTAATATTTGAATTTTATTAGTTGCTAGATCTTCCTGGTATCATTGAAGGTGCCAAAGATGGTAAAGGTAGAGGTAGGCAAGTAATAGCAGTTGCAAGAACCTGCAGTTTAATCTTTTTGTGCCTGGATGTGTTAAAACCACTGGGACATAAAAAATTAATTGAGCATGAATTGGAAGGATTTGGCCTAAGATTGAATAAACAACCTCCTAACATATATTTTCGGAAAAAAGACAAAGGTGGAGTTAATCTTAACTGTATGGTACCGCAATCTGAACTTGATTCGGATACTGTGAAAAGTATCCTGTCTGAGTACAAAATTCATAATGCTGATGTTACTTTGAAATATGATGCCACCAGTGATGATCTCATAGATGTTATTGAAGGCAACAGAATTTATGTCCCCTGCATTTATATATTAAATAAAATAGGTAAGTGAATGTACCAAAATACTATTCTATCATCAATTTTTGAAGTGAATCTTCTATTAAATGATTGTCAAAATTTAATAAGTCATAAATGTCATCCAATTAATAACAACATTGAATCATCTGTCAAATTTTTAGAATAATTCTAGTTTGTTTCTAATTTGTTTAATATAAGTAAATAATAAAATTACTTTATTTAAATTTAAATATATTATTTACATTTTAAAAATACAGAAAACAGTATAAAGCTGCACACTAGTCTACAGTACCGCCAACTGTACAATTTTTTTTAGTAGAATCTATTAATGTGACTTTTAGGGGCTTTTAACTTAAATTTCCATTAAGACCCATCGATTTTGATGAAATTTTGGAATTAACCTCTACTTATCCTTAACTTCAAAATGTACCCTATGCCGGAGGTTGCTTTAAAATAACAGAGACAATTTTGGTCAAATTCAAAGTATTTCAATTTTTTTATTTTTAGCCCCATTTTAATGATTTTTTAGCTTACTGTGTATAAATTTATAAATTTTAATTTGATATAGTCAGTTTTTCGATAAAGTTTTATATTTGACTTATTGTACGGTGTTAATTAAAATGTGGTTTTATTATTTTATCGTTGAAACATCCTGTGGAATAATTCCGTTTGTCAATTTTCGTAAAACCTTATTTTTCGGTTGCAACCATGTCTCCTAAACATTGGTGTTTTTTCTTTCATGTCAAAATATGCCTTGGTTCATTTTTTAGAGCAAAATGAATTTGCCACCCACAATTTAGGACTTTTTAATTATGATTATTTTGGAGTTATTTTATAATAAGACGACATTTTGTTTACCTATGATTGATTATGGTTCTTAGTGTCGAAGATTGTACACAAGCTGTTGCTCTGGTTGGAGGTGGGCAACATTATGAATATGTGGCTAGAGTACTACACACTCATCGCTCTACCATCCAAAGGGTAGTGGAACGTTTTATACGAACTGGAACAAACGCTTTGCGGGATCGTCACTTAACAGCGGTGCAAACAAGAAATCAGCTTTAAGAGGTTCGAGGCAATAATGTAAGAGTATTTACGTTTGTCAAAGATTAAATGAATTCTGTTTGCAAAGTTGCAGACCAGCAACTAGGCCCAAATTACATTAACGACGCAGAGTGGCTAGACTACAATTTCCGGGGAACATTTACATTGGAATTTAGGACAATGGAGTAATGTTCTTTTTACGGATAAATTGAGATACTGTCTTTACTCATCAGATGGGAGAGAACGAGTATGGCGTCGAACTAGAGATAGATTTGCAGAGTGCGCTTTCAGTCCCCTCGTTAGCCCTCGTCTGAGCAGGAATATCTCGAGAGGCGCACACTGAATTGATATTTATTCAGGGTTCATTGACTGCACATCAGTATATTGAGGACATTTTAGCGAATCACATAGTACCCTTTTCTCAATATATTGACGATGATTTTCTATTAATGCAAGATAATGTGTGTTACGCAATATCTAGAGGAAGTTGGTATTAATAAAATGAACTGGCCAGCGTGTTCGCCAGATCTGAACCCAATAGAGCACATTTGGGACATGCTTGGTAAAAATATTAGAGGTTGTGAAGTCGCACCAGCCTCAATTAACGAACTTCGCTTGGCTCTAGAAGAGGAATGGCAAAACATCCAGCAAGATGATATTCGCAACCTCATAGACAGCGTAAGCCGACATGTACAGGTAGTTATAGAGGTTTAGGGGAGGAGGGGGGCAATACAAAGTAATAAGTTATTTTTTAGTAATTTTTCTTTGTTATTTGCGTACTTAGGTTAAGTTACATTTAAGTTGTTTTTTTTATGTTTGTTATTGTTACCATTGTTCATTAAAACCAAGATCATGTCATTGCTTTTAATCATTATTTAAATGCAGTGCCTCTAGGATGTAGATATAATATTCCTTCGATATCAGTCACCAAAGGTATTACAAATTAATACAAAAGATAATGGTAATGATAGGAAAAGTCGTAAATTGTGGGTGGCAAAGTCATTTCGCTCCTAAAAATGAACCAATCCGTATTCTGTTGTGATTTTTTTGCATCTGAGTGTATATTCTAAGCAAAAACATTTCTATGCAGTTTTGTCGACAAATCAGTCCTTTATGCATGATTGAAAATTTCAATTTTTCTTGTGTTTTCAAACTGTCACGAATAACTCAAAAACTGTACATTTTATCGAAACAACTGTTAATAGATGAAATGTTGCCTATAAAAAAGTCAAAGATATTCCTTTTTTATTTTTCCAGTAGTCCTAATACAAACAGAGTTATAACTCATTGAAGATGATAATTTCTTATTTAATGAAACATAAAACTCAACATACTTCTTTTTTAATCAAACTTATTTTTATCATAACTCACTTAGTTCATATACTTGAGAGTTGTACAAAGTCTCATTTTAATTATTATAGGTTGATAATTGTAACCATCGAACGACCCATGAGAAACCGTGGGTGTCAATGGGTAACAATATAACTATCTCCGAAAATTGGGAGCCAATGTAGAACAATAAAACTCACAACTTTCTTTGGGAGTATAAAATTTCTGTGTATAAAATTTGTAAATTTGGCAAAGGCCGACCCATTACAATAATTTTTAATCTTTCCTGATTTTGGCGCCTTGAAAAAAGCGTTTCAATCAAACTGTAGATTATATCGTTTATAATATTATGACAAAATTTATAAATCACAATTTTGAAATAAGTAATTTATATTAATAAATAATTTATTATTGTACATTTGAAGAGGTTAGGCGGCGCCTATCTTGCCTACTCCGACGGGCCGCCCATGTTCTTAATTTATTAATTCTTTGTTTTCATCCTTTTTTAATACAAAGGCATTCTTTTTTTATTTTTTTTATTTATCATTAAGTCCACTCCTGATACGTTTATTACATATCTGAAATTTAACCATACTAATGATCTTTTTAAAACGCTTTGTTTTTTTAGATCAGATTAGCATTGAAGAATTGGATGTAATATACAAAATACCTCATTGTGTACCAATATCTGCACATCATAGGTGGAATTTCGATGATTTATTGGAAAAGATGTGGGAATATTTGAAATTAGTGAGAATGTATGTATTATAATTTTGTGTTTTAATTACGATTATTACATTTTTACCTACTTATAAGTTACAATGTTACATTAATTATAATGGATTAACCTCTGTAATATATCCAAAACTTCTTACATCTATACTTTGCAGCTACTGCTCCGTGGTATTTTTAATATAACAACAACTTATATGATATTTCAACTTCGTAATATACAATTTTTCAACATCATACTAAGTATCATATAATATTGCTTTACTTACAATCTGCAGACACATTTATTATCTTTAATCAAATAAAAGGCAGATATCAAGCACAGTTTTTTTTATTAAATCTTGTCCAAGTACTTTCGATCTCAGATCATCTTCAAGGGCATTTTGTCACAAATTGTTGGCTATTCAGCACATCTATGAATGTTATATACACTGACCGGCAAAAAAAGTGGCCACCCTATAAATTTCCAAAAATAAAAACTCATTAGAAGTGTTATGCACTGTTTCATATTGTATACTCAACATCTTTTATTCTTAAAAAAAACGGTCATTTCTGCTTGATTCCTTATTATAATTTATTTAATTATAAAGCTACAAAAGAAAATAGTTTAATATCGAAACGAACAACAAACAACAAAAATTACGAGTGAACTTGTACAAAGTTGTCTAATGTTGGGTAGTATATCCTAAAACATCAATATCCGTTTGCATACGATTTATAACGGAAAGAAACAAATTTTAAATAAAAACTTAAGGAATACACTTATATATGCTCACGAAGCATGTTTTGAAGCTTTGAAGACTTTCTGGCTGGTATGGTTGACTTAATATGACCCTACGATGAAGTTCATTGTAAAGCTGTTTGATGATACTCAGATCAGAGCTGTAGGCTGGCCATTGTAGAGTATTAATTCCTACTTCTCCCAAGTAATTTTTCACGATCTTGGAGTATGCGGCCGTGCATTATCATGCATAAAAACGAAATTGTCCACAATAAATTATCCAAATGGAACTACGTCTTCTGCCAAAACATCCTCTATATACCGGTATTCATTCAGGGGGCCATTAATGAAAATAAGTTTTAGTTTGAGCTTCAGATGAGATTCCAGTCCAAACCATGACACCCTTACCGCCAAAATTTCTTCTCTGGGGCATACAAGCTTGGGCATATCTTTCATTTCTCCGTCTCCAAATCCTCTGTTGGTCATCGCCACTCTTAAAAAAAAACGCGATTCATCAGTAAAGAGAATTTGGCTCCAATCCTATATATCCCAGTGTTGATGTAGAGCAAAAATGAATCGATTCAAACCTCATGCAGACTGTTTCTTGCAGCAATTGCAGTGGAATGGTGATTTTTAATCACTATAAAACGATCATCTCCTTGCGAGGTAACTCTTCTACGACCGGAAAAAGGTCGACATGAGTATGTACCAGTCTCTATAAAGTGAAGAAAAGCTCTCCGTACTGTAGTTCTCGGAATACCTAAAGTTTTGAATACATAAACTTGACTTCTTCAGTCTTGTAGCAATGCAATGATTCAAGCAACATCTACTGTAGATAACACCATATCTTAATTATTCACTTTTAATAAGAAATTCACGTTTAAAAAGTTAAATTACTGTTTCATTAAATGTTTTAAACTTAGAAGATAAATAGCGATAACAGAAAACAACAACACCTACGTCAAAACTGTCAAAATCAAGCATATATGATTGCAATAAATATTTAAATTTAAACGCAATATGAAACAGTGCATAAATTTTTTTTAGCCCTAAAGTGTACATTAAATAATAAATTTACATAATACTAACACTTGACAAAGGACAAACAGTTTAAAATGATTTAAAAGCTACATTGTGGCTAATAGCAGGAGAGAAAATGAGTAAATATCTGGAGATCAAACGAAAGAGCCGTTTGTTTATTATAAACAGACTCCAAAATGTTGAAGTGTTGTGACATTATCAATCTCAGAAACCCAAAAAGATTAAGAATCTTATTAAGTTTTTATTATATACGGCGTGAAACGAAAATTCTACAACATTAAGAAAACAAAATGTATGATGATCTTTAAGAAGGAACAGCAATTTGGACAAATCAGTGGGAACGGTCAACAAATAGGAAGATCTAGGTACGAACGTCAATGAAAATTGTGACTACTCACTAGAAATCAAATGTAGGATAGAGAAAGCAAGATCTGTATGTCAAAAATAGCTAAGCTATTCAAATGTCATGATGTACCAATATCCATAAAAATCAGGTTACTACGATGTTAAATCTTTCCTATACTGTTGTATAGAGTTAAGTCGTGGACTCTTAAAGACACTACCTACAAAAAAATTGAGGCTTTCGAAATGTGGCTTTATTGCCGAATCCTGAAGATATCTTATACCGACCACGTTACTAATCAGGACGTTTCATTAAGCATAAAAAAAGGAAAAACCACAATAAAAGCCAAAATACAATACCTAGGTCACATCATGACGAACAGCGAAGTATATGGATTGCTGCAACTAATTTTACAGGGAAAAGTAAAAGGAAAACGAGGACCAACAAGGCGAAGGATTTCCTGGTCGAAAATTCTATGTATGTGGTTCAACACAACAATCACAAATAATTTCAGAGCAGTGTGCAAAGTACAGATTTCCATGATGGTCGCCAACATCCGAAACGAATAAGCACTACAACAAGAAGAATGCATCCAGTGACATAGTAACGTTTTAATCCGATATCTCAACCAAATGTCCAACACACTATATGGATATACCATAACCACCTCCTGTTTTAATTACCTAATAAACCAAACCTTCACCCAACTCCATACATAAACAGACAACCTACACCTACATGCAAACCGAAATACATATACCAAAATCCACACATCTCATTCAAACACACACACTTATCATTTATTCACATATACACTTCACCTAGATAATGCAGAAAATCTAACTATTGACCAAAAATAAGGAAAAATTCAACATGCCCTTGTGTCAGTTGGAAAAGAAACCCTCAAACCACTTAAAGAAAAAACAAAACCTTGGATGACAGTAGAAATTCTTGAACTCATGGGAGAACGAAGAAAACTTAAAGCAAAAGACCTGAATAAATACAAAGAAATTCAGAGAAACATCAGAAAGAAAATTCGAGAGGCAAAAGAGAGGTGGCTCTCCGATAGATGCAAGGAAATAGAAGATCTGGATAAAAAGTATGATAGCTTTAATTTACACAAAAAAATCAAAGACATGACAGGTTCTAGAAAGCGTACAAAAACGAATATCCTTAAAAATGATAAAGGGGATATTATTACTGATATGAAGGAGAGATTATGTCACTGGACCAATTACATTCAACAACTATTTAATGATGAAAGAGAAGAACTGTCATTAGAAATCACCGAGGATACTGGACCACCAATATTAAGAGAAGAAGTCATCTATGCCATCAAAAACACAAAAGAGGGTAAAGCTACTGGACCAGATGAGGTGCCCATCGAATTATTAAAACTCATCGATGAAGATGTTATTGATGTAATGGTTGAACTCTTTAATCTAATATATCAGACTGCCACAATCCCCAGACAATGGCTGCAATCAACCTTTGCAGCAATTCCCAAAAAACCAAGTTCAACAACTTGCTCAGACCACAGAACAATAGTTTTAATGAGTCACACACTTAAAACATTTTTGAAAATAATTCACAGCAGAATTGTTAAAACTCTTGAATATGAGATTAGTGACACACAATTTGGCTTTAGAAATGGTATGAGTACAAGAGATGCTTTGCTCGGCTTGAATGTGCCGACTGAGAGATGCATGGACATGAATCAGGACATGTACTTATGTTTTGTAGACTTTGAAAAGGCATTTGATAAGGTTCAACATAAAAAGCTTGTAGATATATTAAAAAGCAAAAATATTGACAGTCGTGATCTGAAAATTATATCTAATTTATATTGGAATCAAACTGCCAAGGTAAGAGTTGACAGCCAGTACACCGAAAATATCAAAATACAGAGAGGAGTCCGCCAGGGTTGCGTGCTGTCCCCACTACTTTTCAATGTCTACAGTGAAGCGGTATTTCAAGAAGCGCTCTCAGACTCAATAGAAGGTATATCTATCAATGGAGAAGTTTTGAATAACTTACGTTTTGCAGACGATACAATAATAATTACGGATAACAACAATGATTTACAGAACCTAATGCAACGCCTTAATGAACGCTGTCATGAGTACGGACTGAAGATAAATTTAAAGAAAACTAAATGCATGATCATGACTAAATCTGCACATGCAAATATCCAATTGACTATTGAAGATACTGCAATTGAGAATGTTAATAACTATAAATATTTAGGAACATGGATAACATCAGATGTAGACCAAACCAAAAAATTAAAACACGTATTGAAATAGCACGTACATCATTTATTAAACTTAAAAAGTTTCTTTGTTGTCGGGATATAAGGTTAGAACTTCGCCTGAGAATGCTTCGATGTTACGTGTTCTCTACTCTTCTTTATGGTCTGGAAGTTGGACACTCAAACAAGTTCATCTGAATAAGCTGGCCGCCTTTGAATTTTGGTGTTACAGAAGAATCCTACGAATATCATGGATTCAAAGATTGTCAAACATGGAAGTAACTAGAAGGATAGGAAATGAGGCGGAAATAATATTAAAGACGAAAACTTGAGTACTTGGGACATGTGATGAGAGGGCAAAAATACGCATTATTACAACTTATTATGCAGGGCAAAATCCGAGGAAAGCGAAATGTGGGAAGACGAAGAATATCCTGGCTTAAGAACTTAAGGGAATGGTTTGAATGCAGTAGTGCAGAACTTTTTAGAGCGGCAGTCAACAGAGTCCGCATAGCCATGATGATTTCCAACCTTCGATAGAAGATGGAACTTAAAGAAGAAGACACTTCACCTCCACCAATCTCACATTCATAAACATACAGAAAAAGTCAACAACAAACAACCAATAACTATACTAATATACCACATTCATAAACACCTAAACAGAACATCAAAATAATAGACAGTGAGCACCACATACACTCCTTAAGAGTCGAATTCAAATCACAAGGACAGGGGGAGATTGGTTTTCTGTGGTTTCCCAATCTCATTGCACAACGATACCTAATCCTAGATGACGACATAGCCACAGCTATCTTTCACGCGTTTTACCCAAATAAACAAAAGGCCAACAATCTGAAAGGAATCGTTTTCCCATGGAACTTGTACCTAGTAACGGGCTTGGTCCACACGGCTCCAACAAGGCGGAAATAACTCTTCTGACACTCCTGCTTTACAGCTGTCAAGCCGTGTCTCGGACGACGACAGCTCGCAACCTACACCAAATTAAAAATACCATCCTTGAAGAAGCAGAAAGCTTAAACAAGGTAAAAACGCTCAGACGGAATAAAAATTCACCATATACTAGTACGCAGTAAAAAAATGTAGTAACACGCCCTGAAAATTTGAATAAACGTTTTAAATATTATATGTTAATATGTATCACATGAAAATAAATTGTAAAAACGTATTTCTGACGAACATATCTAAATGAGCCAAACTGTACTCGTATATCTATCACATCTTATTTTTTAAACATTTATTTACTTTTGTCTAGTTTATGTTAAAATTATTCACTTGTTTACGTTAGTATTTAGTATATTTAATTCTTTTTTTTCTTTGTATGTATTCTATATTTACTTTTTATTCTTTAGTTACACAAAACCTAAAGGACAACTACCGGACTATAATTCGCCCATTGTTTTACATTCGGAACATACATCTGTTGAAGATTTTTGTAATAAGCTGCACAGGAGTATTGCCAAGGAATTTAAATAGTAAGTTTCTTTAATATATTGTGTTTCATATTTATAGTTGTACATTTATATCCATGCCAGTATTGACAAGTAAAGACAGAAGCCTTTTAATATAAAATTTCGAAAGATTTTTACAACTCTTAGGTAAACCAATGATTATGTAGTATATTGAAAATCGCGGCTGTACTTCAACATAAATCTACTGTACTTCAGCATAAATCGTATCATGATATGCTTCTTATAAACTACGTACAAGTTTTATGTTTTGTTCATAAAAAAACAAAGATTATTTAGAAACAGTAAAAAAAATGGGACATACCCTATACAAAAAAAACGAACCACTGCACTGCACTAAATACGTGTGAAAAGAATTAAAACTAAAACCAGTATATTTCCTTCGTTCATCATTAGAAAATATTCAGCATTGTGTTTCAATCTGTTTTGACAGGTTATAAATTAAGTTAAAAAACTACTCTTAACCCCATTTAGATAGATCCAGTTTCGGCACTACTTCAACCACTTAATTCCATTTCTGTTTAGCTGCCTAGCTGAGGCTATTTAACTGTGTACTTAAATGTTTGTATTTATCAGAACTCTGATAAAATTATTTCCATTTTTTGCATCGGCAAAGCACTAAATTGCTGTGGTTTACGAACCCTTCTTTCGGTTCGGACTCTTCGAAGAGAAATTTCCACGTGAAGAGAAAACCACGTTTCTCTTTATCTGACTCTCGATCTGAAGTGACGCTATGTAAAAAATTCATTCTTCTACGAGAATGAATAGAGAGAATGAATGGATATTCCCTTCCCTAAGTAGATTTTATAAAATGTTTACTTGAATAATTACGACAAGACTAGAGAAAAAATTAGATTTCTACCAGCCCCGAGAATAAGCTGGCTTCCGCTCAAAATTCGGAACAAACGATCACGTTTCGTTTAAAAACAGCTTTTATTTTAAAATCTCTATAGGCGAAACAGAAAAGACGAATTAAAGAGCAAGACAATAGCTAATAATTCATTTTGAAAGCAGCACCTGGCTAATTGTAAACAGACTCTGAAGTTGTTTAGTCTAATATTTTTAAAACGCTAAAAGATATGAACTATTTTTGATTGTTATGATTTACAGGATGAAAAGAAAATGCTGCAAACTTCTTTCCTGAAGCCTGATAGTATGCAAAATTGTATTAATATTTGAATTTTTATTTTTAGTGCTCTTGTTTGGGGATCCTCAGTCAAGCATCAACCACAAAAAGTAGGATTAGAACATGTGCTGTGCGATGAAGATGTTGTACAGATCGTTAAGAAAGTTTAAAGTGTGCTTACCTTTTACTTACGTTGAATTGCGACTACAAAACATATTTATATTAAGTATAATATGAACAACACTAGTGATATACTTGTTTTAAAACAATCAAATTATTTTTGTGAACATTTTTACATTTAACCAACGTGTATCATGTACATTTTCGATTTTACTTATTTGCAGGATATTTTCGTAGTTCCAATGTTTTAACTACTTAAATAAACTAACAATAGACCATGAATGTGTTTATTTTATTATTAATATTCTTCCGTCCCTCCACATATATTTTTTTAAAGTATTTTTTAATATTTTATTTTTATACTCGAACACTTTCGCTACTCCATGTACCAAAAACGGTACACACTTGACTTTTATGAACAGAGTATGTGCCCATATATGGTCACATGTTTTGGCTGGGTTCTAACACATGTGTACATTAGACGGTCACACTTTCCATTGAAATTATGATGTGTAGTTCGAATGCTTTAAGGGGACAGATTTATACGTCAATGGGACAGTCTCATGCGAAACTTTCAAAAAATCAATTTTATTTTTTTTATAAATCGCTTCCATTTACATTCAAAAACTCCATCCAAAATTTTAAAAAGAAATTCCCACTAGAATATAAGTTATATATATTTTATTAACGTCATATATGCACGTATGAAAACCGGTTTCTCTCCGAGCGGCGAGCGCGAGGCTCCAGCTGTTCTTGCTTTTGTATATATGTTGTATATATGTTGGGCATGTATTAGTGATTAATTTTTATATAGTATGTATATCTGTATAACGTTTGGCAGTTACTATACACATTTGGATTTGGAATTTTAAATCCGGAACATAGGATTTTTTACAAATACTAAGATTCTCTGCGTTGCAATAAACCAGTGTAAATTTCTTTATAACGTCGCGATGTTTTATAACTAATTTATTTGTTCCACTGGATTACTTCTCCTCAGCGGTTTATAGTAGCGTATATGGCACGCCGACAGGGTTGCTCCGTCTACCGATTTTTCCTGAAAGTCCGGTTTTGTGCAGATAATAAATAATGTTTTATTAACATCAATTTTGTTTGTGTTCATTAGGTATTATTTGAGTTATAAAATTTATACTTAAATACATTTATTATTCCAAATATTGTTTATAATTTCAAATTAAAAAGAGTGTAATATAATTATTTTATGTTTAAAATTCCTTTTTATTTTTAATTTTAGAAATCAACTTTTTTTTTTTCAAGCCGTTTTGGCAATAAAACATAACCATTTTTTTAGTTATAAAATATTTTCATATCTACATTTATAAATAAGTACGTTTTCCTTGAATTGACATGCGATCTAGGTGTGTTCCGTTTTTACACTGGCAGCATCGCGGCGTGAATTGAGACTCCAGTCGAACATGAACAAATGAATTAATTATAAAACATCGCGACGTTGTATTGAAATTTACAGCTTTACAAAGCCATTTACAACAACTGTTGGATGAACAGGGTCCTCAATATTCACCAGGAATGGCCGATTAAACGTGAGTATAAAGTTATCAGCCCTTTATTCATGAAAATTATGTAAAAAAAACTTTAAATGCTTTTTTCTCAAAAGTAATATTTTCAAACTGGTCAGACACTTTTCTCCTAACCTTCTTAACCGATTTTAAAAAACCAAAATTTTTTCGAATATACATACAAAATCTAGATGATAAACCTTTAAAATATTTAGAAACCACCCCCCCTTTTATTATATATGGGTAAATCCACCGAAAAATATAGCGATTTTTCGACTTTTTTGAAAAAATTCGTATAAACTCTTCAAAATAATATAATTTGCATATTTTAAAAGGTTTATCATCTAGTTTTGAGTCTCACGAATACAACCCTTTTTGAATATCTGTTACAGGTGACCCACAAAGTGTCTTACCACCAAAAACGCACTTTTTACTACACGCCATCTACAGGACATCAATGAAGTTAAAATCGCTATTAAATTTTTTTTATGTACTTCAAGACTTACTTAATCATCTCCAAAAGGAATTATGTTAATAAATATTATAGTTTTTTTTCTGCTTTAATTTTAAAATGTGTCTTTTTTTTAATCGCATGAGACTGTCTCCTTAAGCTGTAATTAAAAGCTGGCAACTTAATTCAGCTATCCAATTAGAGATGACGCCAAAATGTACAAAATTTAATATTATTTGTACGTTAAGTTCTTGTGTACAGTCCCGATACGCATATGTCAGCTACTGTTGTTACTCAGATAGGCGTGTATTTTGATATAAAATGAATTCTAGAGGTTTAAGTGAAGTTGAGCTGCAATAAATAATAGACGAATTGAGTGAAGTTGAGTCTGATATTATTGATATATGAATAATAAACAATTAGGAGTGATTCTGATGTAGGTGCAACTCCAAAAAGAGACAGACTACTGTCTGTCTAGTAAGTTCTAAAGTAAATGAAGACACCAGAGCTATTAATGTCATTTCAAATGGTTCAAATGAAAATGTTTGTATAGTGACTTAGATGAAAATAGACAACAGGAAATTAATGTTATTTGTTTAGATACAAAATCTAGAGGAAGATGTACAAGGTGTTATAAAATGAACAGTGGGCATAAATTCTTATGTATGGAGTGTTTTTTGATACCCATAATTGTACTGTACGCAAGTAATAGGCGTGACCAATTATGGTACACATAGTCTATGATAACAATATATGTATGTACAATTTTTTGACATAGCTATCAAACATTTATTTTTTACAATAAAAAACTAGTTTGATATTTTTTTGTATATGTAGTACATTAAAATAAAGTATTCTTAAAAAAAGTTATTAGTCTGTCAGGCAATTAAAATCAAAACCCCTAGTAGTCAATGTCTTTACGTACGTAAACTAATACGATCCTGTAGACACCGCCACTTATATACTTAAAGGAGACCAATATTATTCAGCGTGTTCACACATAGCTCAGTCTTTGTATACTAACGCGAGATAAACACTTTAAGTTTATGATGTAACCTGCTAAGTGTAAGAATTGAATTTCAAAGTTCAGCCCAATTTCCACATTCCCAGCGCACTAGATAGAGAAAGAAGAATATTCATTCATTATCAGTAGTATCGTGCAATATAACTTACATACACAAACAATATTGAAATTAATTGATACATTTGAATTTAACTTTCATCATAAAAAATAACACCAGTACCTTTAAATACACAATTGTGATTAATTTAAACTTTCAAATACATTTTAATCAAATATGTTTAGTACTGCAAACTCTCCAGCCTCCATCACATTGATCGGCAATACCAACAATAAAAAACAAATCACAGTAATAACTTCTTCTTCTTCATGTACCATGTCCTTTCAGAACGTTGGTTACCATCATAGCTATTTTAATTTTATTCACTGCCACCCTAAATAGCATGCTTGTATCTACACCATACCAATCTCGCAAGTTCTTCAACCATGAGGTTCTTCTTCGTCCTGGACTGCGTTTGCCTGCTATTTTTCCTTGCATGATATTTTGTAGCAATCTATATTTGGGACCTCTCATTACATGTCCGAAATATTTCAGCTTTCTCTGCTTGATGCTTTTTATGATCTCAGTAGTCTTGCTGAGACGTTCTAGTAATGTGGAGTTACGAATCTTCTCCACCCAGGAAACTTTTAAAATTCTTCTATAGCACCACATTTCGAAAGCCTCAAGGCGATTTAGATCGATTTTATTCACAGTCCAGGACTCGACAGCATAAAGTAAGACCGAGAACACGTTAGCAGCGAAGTAGGCGGATCCTTAATGACAATTTTAGGTCTCTGTTACATAACACCTTGGACATCCTTCTAAAAGCAGCTCTAGCTGCTCTATTCTGGATCTAATTTCGCCGTGATTTTCTGCATTACAATTTAATTGCTGTCCAAGGTAGACGATTTTATCAACTTGCTCAAGTTTGGTATTATTTACATATATAGACGGTTTTATATTCTGTTGTTTACTTATTACGAGAATTTTGGTTTTCCTTATGTTAAGATCCAGACCTGCCTCCCTACAACTCTCAACGACACTATCAAGTAGTGTTTGCAGATCTTCTTGACTAGAAGCTAGGAGTACTGTATCGTCCGCATATCGCAAATTATTGATGACTTCGCCGTTCACAAGTATTCCTTCTTGTTTTTCAGAAAGTGCTTTTCTGAAAATTCTTTCGGAGTAAACGTTAAAAAGCAGGGGTGACAAGAGGCATCCCTGCCGTACTCCTCTTTTAATATTGAGAGCTTGTGATTCCACACCATCTACTAAAACAGTAATAACGGCAAGCCAAGAAATAAATAGCCTGACAGTTAACACCTTAATACCAACACCACAATCTTTTGGATCTTTGCCTTATATTCCATTCTTAACACCGAAACTTCTCAAATTATTTAAAGGATTAGAAAACATAAAAATTACCACTAGAAATGTTAAAACTATAGCACATTTATACACTAAAACTAAAGCTCCTTATAACAACCAAGGAAAGTTCTAAGTAGTGTATCAAATACCTTGTTCAGATTGTGATAAGGTTTAGGACATGTGATGAGAGAGCAAAAATACGCATTATTACAACTTATTATCCAAGGCAAAATCGAGGAAAGCGAAATGTGGGAAGACGAAGAATATCCTGGCTTAAGAACTTAAGGGAATGGTTTGAATGCATGGTGATTTCCAACCTTCGATAGAAGATGGAACTCAAAGAAGAAGAAGAATAGATAAAGTTATTTCAAATGTACTAAATTATTAATCTCTAAAAATTTAAATTACAGTTCCTTTGTAGCTTGTCACAAATTTCTCAATTCGAGTCTATGTTTCCGTTTAAAATATGGCGATCGCGTGCTGACAAATTTGAAAGGCGGCATCTGAGCAGTGGGCATTCTGATTGTTATTTATTCTGTGACTTAATGAACTTCGAAAAAAATGAAATGTTGAATAACATTTTGGCTACATCTAATTGATTATTTTTGTGATTCTCTTCCATTAAAATATGGATCGTTCATTTTTTCTGACTTAAGTTGGTTTTCCTAATGAATGTTTGCTAAACATGTTAAAGTTGCGTAAGCAAGTCTCCATAACTGAAAAAATAAACGAAATATAAATAATGCACAATTAAAACTTTTTAAAAAAAGTGATAGTCATTTTAGTTCAGTATACCGTTGAGTAAAAAGAATCTTTATGTGAAGTAGTTTTTAATAAAATTGATTTGGGTAACGACGCAGCAGA